TATAGACATATTTTATATATAAATGTATATTTATGAATATTTATACATGTTTATACATTTTATTATATTTAAACATATTCATGAAAAATTTTTTACTGGGATATTTGTATAATAATGCTAATATAATAAAGTCTTTCATTCTCTTTTAATGTACTATTTATAACTTTTACTAAACAAGTTCCATAAATTTATTAATATAATTAATATAATTGTGATTGAAATTTTATATTGGGAAAAGCTGTATTATATTCTATATAAATAGATTTTCTCTAAATGATGAAAATCATTTGTATAAATGAATTGTTGCTGTCGAATTGGAAACTGAGAAAAACAAGAGAAAAACAGAAGTGTAGTTTGCATTTTAGTAAAAAAGACATTATGCAAGGAATAGGATTTCATCATCCTTACTTACATAAAAATACAGTATCATTTATCGCAGAAGAAGCACAGGTTGATATCGCAACGTTAAAGTCAGAAGAGATATATAATGTTAGTAAATCTGTAAGCTGCAATGAAACTTGTATCTTGGACGAAATTTCATGTGACATAATAACTATTCAAACAATATTAATATATATTTAATATTAATATAATATTAGGATTACAATTGAAAATGACGGCTCAGGTACATTTGATACTCAAGATTTAAATCAATCGATTCAATAGCAATTATTAATCTAAATAAAAAACGTAAATTTATTCAAAAGATATTACGTCTATCTCACATAATTTAAATTTCAACTTTCGAGAAACCGAGAGATCTGATTACTGCAAAAAGAATAAAAGAGTTATCGAAAACTGTAAAAAATATAAAAATGAAAAATAAAATTTTACAATACAAATTGAAAAGATAAAATAAAAAATTTATTTAGTGCAAAAAAAGATTTAATTCATTGCAACCGAAGAAACTTATTGCGTAACCTTTGCAATTATTAAGAAAACAATTTAAAGAAATTATATTAGAATTTCTTGAAAATGAAAGATCGAAAAGTTCAACATCGACGTTGTACACCTGAAATAAAAACATTGCTTTTTTGTCATTGCACTATATTTCCCCTACAGCTGAATTTTAGGGCTGAATGAATTTTGCCGGTAATAATTTTTATAATTAACAATGAATATACACACACACACATATATATATATATAAAATACAAAATATATTGTACAAAATATAATTATATATGAAAGTATATATGGCCGAATTAGCAATTTTGCTGATTGCGATCTTGGGGCGGTAAATGTTGATGATTTACGCGCTTCAGGTTTAGGAGATCATTACGATGATAGATTCACCGTAACAGCCGCTCGTCGGAACTAGTCAAATAAAGCACAAAACGGGCATGAACCTCTACACTCTGCACAAGTCTGCGCAACTCGTGGCTGATCAAGTTGAAGAGAGGCGAGGAGCATTTGGAGCACTTATCGATATGGAGCTGCTCGATATGTAGAGAATGTCGCGTGGTTAAATGATATGTTCTTATATAGGGGTCTTCGTAACACGGCGCAGAGAATTCCTTTCTTCTGTGTGGTTTTCCGATCTTATTCGAGGATCACAGTACCATATATGACTAGATCAAGCGTGAAATCCCTCTTCAGTGAAGTTCTGCTTATATATATTATGTAGAGAGATAAAAATTTCCCAGAGTTCTCTTAGTAACACTTCGTTCCCACGAAGGAAGAGACTTCAAATGGCTCTCCTGTCGTCAATCTAGGGATGAAATTTCTCATCAGCAAAAGATCATGAATATATAAAATTATAATAAATAAAACTACAGACTAAGATTACTTTTGTTAGCAAAAATTATTAAAAAAAAATTAATAGCTTTAATATTAGATAAAACAATCACACAATCACATGAACTTGATAAAGGAGGGAAAATTCCAATGTTACATAGAGCTTGAATTAGTTCATCTCTAATTTCAGATTTAATTTTGGGCAAGCCCAAAAAATATGATTAAGATCCTGCAACTCATAGTCACATTCACAGCTAGGATCATTTTTACAGCCAATTTTGTACAAAAAAACATTGGTAAAAGCATAGCCTGTTAATTCTAACAGCCCTACCAAAATCTTTTCTGCAAATATGCAGTTTAAAATATAAAAAAATATATATCAAAATCAGAATTTAAATCCATAAAATATTTTCTCTTATTAGGGTTTAAGGAATTCATAAACTCCATATCCAAATTCTTAAAGACGTTAGTTCTGACCGATAAATAATTTTTGAAATCAACTTTATTCTTATGGTAGGTCTGAAATAGATGCTGTCTTAGACAACTGATCAACCTTATCAATTATGACAACATGGGACACCAAGTAAATTTAATATTACTTCCCCCAGGACAATTCAATTTATTTAGAATATAAGAAATTAAAGGATTCAATTTGCTCTTATTTGAGTATCCCAAAAATATAGCCCTCAAACAACTCTGAGAGTCCGAGCAAATATTAGCAAAATCAAAACCTCCTATTATGATTATATCGATGGCCTTAGAGATAGCTCATGCTTCAACATCATATGAACTAGAGAGTTGGTTTAATTTATAAATAACACTGTTCCAGTTCAGGAATTCATATCGCCGAACCTATTTTGTCATCATGTTCTTCACAAACAATCCTTAATCCATCAGTAAAAATTTTAACCTCATACTGGGATTCAGCTCTGAAATTAATCAAGTTAATAAACGCTCTTGAGATTGCCGCAAGTTTTTGCCAATGAGCCAGACTTAAAATCCACTGGAATTTTAGAAAACTCTGATTTAAAGAGTATGCAAAAGCAAGATGAATATCCCAAATATATAAATTTTGTTTAAAATGTTTGATTTCATTCCATTTGTTAAGTATAAAAGGAATATTTTTCTTTGCAACCTTACCATTATTGATTAATTTTGCAAAATAGTCAAGTTTATTGTTAATTTTATTTTATTTTAATTGTATACATTTAAATAGAAAGCTCTCAGATTTGATTTCTACATTGAAATCTTTGGTCTGATAATCTCCAGCAAACTCTATTTGCCGCTACCTTAGGCAGACCTAAAGTCAATTTATATGCAACACCTAATAAATTACTAATAGTTTCAATGTATGAGTTGGCCGCATTATAATAATATACCAATAAGCATCCTATTCAAATTGGACCAACAAAATAACGTTAATAAACTTAACTGATTTATGAGACATGAAGAGACAGAGATCCATTTTAATATATTCATATATTGTTTAGATTTAACTTTCAAAAATTTTATATGATTCATCTCAAACCATAATCTATAATCAATTCTAAATATTTAATCGAGTTATTAAATGGAATCACTTGGTTGATTAGTTCTATACTATATACTATACTATTCGGAATTTAAACTTTCTTGGTTCTGTGAAAAATGATATACTAAGTCTTATTAAGTTTCAAGTCTAAGTGAATCGAATTGACTCAATCAGTCATGTAAAGACTCAAAAGCTTTTTTTAGATGATTATTAATTATCAAAGAATTAATTCTTTGAACGGAATCAACGATAAGGCGCTTCGAGTGATTCAAATTTTCTCATTTATTTGTTCTTTTTTCTTTCTCTTTTCCTCAGTTATCTCTTCCAATCCAAATACTCTTCATTAATTTCGATATCACAACTTAAAAAAGGGAAATTTTTAATATAGATGGTAAAGCGCATTGAACGGGTCAAAGAAAGCGAGCTAAAATCAAGGCACTAAAAAAAAGGAATCCCAATAATCGTGAAAATTCAGTCGAGAACTTTCATTTCTAAAGAGGCCCGTAATGAACTGGAGAAGGCTCATAAAAAGCCAATTATTCGGAAGAAGATCTCACCCTCAGCGATCCCTGTGATGGATTTAACTGAGGACGATCTTGCACCCTTAGGTTTTGAATTCCTTTCCTCTTCTTACTCTCCTACCCTGACAAACTCCCCACAGTCCGTTATACTTCCTCTCTCTTTCTCCCCCGTCCCTTTTGAGGATAACAGATCCTTCGATGAGATCTTTCAATCACTTGAAACCTTCGCCGAATCGACAAGGTTTTCCCTCCCTTTGACCACACCACCTCATCCCACATAAACACACACACATACACACACACTCTCTCACACACACACACACACACACAATTTATTTATACGTTATAAATCGTATAAAAAAATCTCTTCAATTAGATAAATAAATTTCAATTCCATCAATTAAATATAAGAAATCCTATATTCGATTAAAGCTGATCTAATTGCCTAAACATTTAGATGCGAATTTACATACATACATAGATAATTCTGTAAATTGCGCAATAAAGTTCTTTTCAATCTTGAAACGCAATCATGGATGGAAGTACAGTAGTATAAACTATTTATATTATATTAGGTGTACAACTTTGCTTCCGCCGTTTTTTTTCCGAAATTCGAGGCTTTATTGTAAAAAACTGGTTATACATTTATTATTCAAAGTATTGTCCATCGCTGGCCACTACTTTCTCCCATCTTTCGGGTAGCGTACGAATCTCGCGTCGAAAAAACTGGTCATCTTTTGAGGCTATCCACGAATTGATCCAATTTTTTACTTCTTCATAAGACCGGAAGTCTGGTCAGCCAGGCCGTGTGCCATTGATCGAAACAAGTGATAGTCAGAGGGAGCAACGTCTGGAGAATACGGCAGGTGGGGTAGGATTTCAACGTTTCCAAGT